TGGAAAATAATGTGTTTTTTTTTACCTTAAACCACATAAACACATTTCATTACACCAAATACACCAAATAATGTTCTTTTTAGCAGCATTAATTTAATTTAACTTAAACGGCCCACTTTATTTGAATTCACCCCCAAATATAGAAATTGCAAAGGAACAAATACATAGAGTGACTGGGACTGTCAATCTTCAAAATGGTTTTTAAAAAAAAGGTAATTATACTTTATAAATTGGTCGTAAGAAATAACTTTTCAAACCTAGAAAATGCATTGCGTACCAACAAAGTGTGTGTAGAGAACATTACCAAGCACAGGTTGTGCATACAAGACAATGTACCAAATGTAAATTTTCCCATTTGCAATTTGCCTAAAAGATGGCTTTTGGTTACAAACAAATGACAACTAATTCATCTCAAAACAACATACATATATATATTTTAATGTGTTTAATTTTTTAATAATGAAAGCTGTTCATTATTATAGCTGTTAAAACGTACAAGCAGGACATGATTATAAAAAATATACACAGCATAAGGCTGACATCCTTTGATATTTTAAATATAAGGTTGTTCTGCATACATGTCAGTTTTGTTACATGTCAGAACAACTTTTGTTCCCATTTGTCCGCTCCACCCATTGGACATTCTGTCAGTGAGGACTCATTCCAAAACATTTCACCTTAGTCAACCATATTTTTCCTGAGCTCTTCCCATAACATTCCGCTAACTTCACCTCTTTCGCTTCCCCACTACCCAATTCACTACACACGACATTGGCGTCTAACAAATCCCAGCCATCGTAACACACCGTTCCCCATATTCCATCATAGAGAACCTGCACTCTTCCCGAACAAGAGCTGCTGCTAGTCAACTAGTCTGACTGAAGAAGCTTCGCCTGACGTGGAATTTCCCAGAACTGCTTGTCATGAGAGATAAAACACTGAGAATCACAAGTAGATTATGGAATATGTAGGGTGAAAATAAATTGTATGTAGCCTATGTATGAGCTGTGTGTGAGCTCTTACTTTGAAGGACAGTGAGCTTTAAACACAGCAGCGCTGCTGTAAGGAAACCAAGAAAAATGTTAACGCTAGCTGATTTCAATGAATAATAAATTATTTTTAACATCACCCTGATAATATAATGAAACAAAAAGATAACTAACGTTGCGGGAAGAATTTACTTAAAGCCTATATATAAGCTAAAGCAAATATGAAATATTTGATGCATTAAATATGCCTTGTAATGCCTATTGTATGATCTTGAATAATTATTATAACCACATTATAATACTTATGTTACACCTTTAGAAAGTCTTTTTCGTAGAAACAGATAAAAAAATCAGAAGTAAGAAACCTGCAAATATTGTATTAGCCTACATTTTAACTTTGGTTACAATTATTTATGAAAATGTATAAAGAAATACAAGGGAAATTATAAATACCTTTACAATAGTTTATAAACATCATATATTATATAAAGGCTTTAAGTAAGGTGTTACAAAAGTTTCTTATTTTACACTTCTTTATAAATCCATAAATATAAATCCTAAGATCCTAAAATTATGTTTATGTGTTTAAAAATACTTATAAGGATATTTCAAATCAATACAATTTTTCTAATTCTATGGTCTACATAAAAATTTGATTTAGATACTTTACAGAGAATCAGAAGCAATCTACTTTGAGATAGAACAAATTAATAAATATTTACATGTATTAATTTAGCAGACAGATAGAAATAGTAAAATAAAGACAGAAATATCAAAATATGACTAAGGGTTTTAAACCTTTTGAAGTGTACCATGTATGCTGCTGTCTTCCTTCTGGACTTGAAATATAAGTTTGGATGTTGAAAATTTAGTGTGCATTTATCTAGAGATACAACCTCCAGCCCACCGGTCTCCACCCTTCAGATGATCCTGACAAATAATCACACCTTTTCAAGGTAATTTGCAGCATACATGCAACAGGTGCAAAAGTCAGCAAATTGCACTTTAGAAGGAAGCCATGACCTATGCAAACAGGTTAGCTATAGAAGAAACTATAAGGTATTGATCACAATAGTTATAGTTCTCATTCTCAACTTGGTTTTGTCTTTCATAATGCTGGGATTTAAGGGGCACCACCAATCAAGGTCATTGTCATTGTTTGGAACTGACTGAACTGTTTAGTGTTCCCAAAAAGTTTAATCCTGCTCAAACATTTGCTTTTGCAAACAAATAACAATGGCACTAAACAGAAGGCTGTTAATTTTTTCCATTTTGTTTGGTTATTCAAACGAGTTTTTCCTCCCTAATTACTCTGACAGGCCCTTTTACAGGATGCAAACTGTGAACCTTTTGAATATTTACCTTCCACAAACAATCCTGTATTATTTAGGACCAAAAAGTACTATGATAAGACTTAAGTGCTTCATTCCATGATTCTGAAGCCATTCATGTCTTAAATTAAAATTCAGCTTTATGTTATTATGCACAGTTGGGCCTTCACCCTGTTTTGGAACTGGGATAGGTTGCTTTTCCTGCTAAATATATGCCCGTGTCTGTCTCAGTTCATTACCCATTGCAAATGGTTTACAAAACCTTGGACTATTATTAATCTTACGGTTTACAAAACTTTTAAGTATCCTGAAAATACTTTGGCTTATTCTTTTTGAAAAACGAGTAACCGGCTCACCAACCACCAGTGTTGGGGAGTAACTAGTTACATGTAACGGAATTACATAATTTAATTACAAAATAAAAGTAATTGTAATCAGTTACAGTTACTACGAAAAATTTTGTAATTAAATTACAGTTACTTATGAAAATGTTAAGTATTACAAAGGGGGTTACATCTGATTTTTTTCACACACACTCCCACATACAGATTTAATTGAGTTCTTTCATAAATTGAAACACCAGTGTTTCAGAAGTTTGTTACATGCTTATCCGATAGGGTTTATGTATATGCTTTATTTTTTTTAAGGTTAACTGTTTTTTTCTAAGCCATTGTTAGATTCCAGTGTTTCCTGTCATAGCTATGCAAAGATTTGATTTCAAAAACAGTATCATAGCTATTAAACTATTTCTTGTTATGATTTTAAATATGTATTTAACCTCAGAATGATTTTAAAGTAAGTCTGATTTTGTGGCGGCTGTGCTTCAAAGGGGACAACGGATGCCCATTTTCCACAAGTTGGTATGATTCTCTAGGGTATTCTTGAACTGGTCTCAGTGTTTCGTGTAAACCTTGTCAAAAACAGCTCTGTTCACAGCGACTCGTTTCGGTGCATTTCTCTTTACATGCTAATGAGCTCTGCTCGCCCCACCCCTCTCTTCTGTGGAACCACAAGTGCAGATGCCAAGGGTGGAAAGATTTTTGTTTCAAAAACTAAGCAATTACCTAATGGCAAAATAGTACCATATCTACTATACATTAATTACAGTGTTATTAGTCACAACATTTTAAGCATAAGTATTTTTTTCTGTAAAACAAATCAAAAATACAGAAATTGGGACCAGAAAGACAATGGTTATAACATCCAGAAATATTGTTCTTTAATCACACTTTATTTATATTTATTATGCAACTATATATAGTATCTAAATGGAATTGGATTAAATGAAATTATCATTAAGCATACTGCAATTATATTTTCATTCATTTACCTCCAGACAGGTTTATATTGAAAATATATGTACAATATGGGCTATATGGGCTATATCAAGATTACATATATATTATAGTTAGGATGACACACAAAGATACTTTATCACTATCAAAACACAGCCTACATCGTCATTAGTGGGGGGGAAATACAAGGAAATTATATAAAGCAGTGTCATATGTGGAAAAATAATTATTAATTTCATTTATTAAAGGTCAGACCGAAAAATTAATGTAGAATTTATTTCCTTTTACATAGTGTTTGCTTATTTTCTTCTCTGTATCCAGAAATGACCTGAGGAACCAACACCATTGTACACTGTTATTGTGGAAAATATTACATAAAATATTTAAACTTTAGTTTTAAGGCTAATGTTAAAGTCTTACCAATTTGTCAGGGTGCAGCTCTTGTTCTCTTATGGAAGATTTTTCCATCGGTCCAAGTTTTGAGTGAGAAAGTTTCATTAATTTGTAGCTTCTTCCCAATCTATGAGATTGAAATGAATGTAAATACAGAGAACAGAACAGTAACATGAACAGCCAGTAGACGACAGTAAAAAGTAGTGAAAGACACAGCTCAATGTCACTCTTTCCACTGCTCTCACCTCCTCTGAAAGTTTATTTATGATTCCAGCAGCATTTGGGTCAACTCCATGGTTAGCATTTCACTTCAACCCTCAACATGACTTTAACAGCTAAGTGAAATCAAAAGTCATCAATGTCTCCATGAATAAAACACATTGCTCCATAACCTCACTCACTAAAATGAGTGTGGCACTTACATCCACAAATGATTCCGGCATCTTTCTCATGGCCACATATGTTTGGAGTTGCATTATATGAACAGCTCATCAAAGTAGGCTCATTCCCAAAACAGTTTACATTATTCATCCAAACCTTTCCTGAACCCATTCCAAAATAGGCAGCACTCTTTACTTCCAAAACTGTCCCACAGCCTAGTTGTTTACACACCACTGCAGCATCTGATGCATCCCATCCATCATCACACACTGTTCCCCACTGACCGGCACGAAGAACCTCTACTCGTCCATAACAGGGGTTGGTGCTGCTGACCAGCCTAACATTATCTATTGCTCACACAAAGGAATAAAGTTTATATATAATGACAGCGCGATCATAGAATACATATACAGTCATTTCAGTCTTACATAGACTACACTGTATGCTGTTAAAAGGTTTACACTCACCCTTACAGATGACTCCTGCATCTTTCTCATGTCCACAGCTGCCTCTTCCCCATCCACTTGATTTACAATCTCTTAGTCTTGAGTCAGTGTCAGAACATTGCAAATCACTTATCCATACAGGCCCTGATCCCTGACCGAAATGAGCAGCGCTCTTGGCCTCGATCACATCCCAACAGCCCATCTCTCTACACACTGCTGCAGCATCTGTTAGATCCCAGCCATCATCACACACTGTTCCCCATATTCCATTATAAAGAACCTCCACTCTTCCAGAACAAGAGTCGTGTCCATTTATGAGCCTGAGAGAAGCTAACCGCCACACAAATGAAAGCAAAAGAAACTAATTAACTACTAAAAAACATATTTAGGATGTTTTCTCCATTTACAGTGACTATTAATTGACTGTATTTCTTTTTATAGGTCAAAGTACCGCACACTGCTGCATTAAAGAAATAGTTCACAGAAAAATTAATATTTGCTTAAACTTCACTCACCTTCAGGCCATCCAAGATGAGTTTGGTTCTTAATCTGAACCGATTTCGATATAATTTACTCACCAATGGATCCTCTGCAGTGAATGGGTGCTGACAACAACATCACAATATGAGTTCAGTCCATCAATTAACATCTTGAGAAGCAAAAAGCTGCATGTCTGTAACAAACAAATTAATTATTACATTTTTTTTAACTTCAAACTGTTGCTTCAGTCAAAAGAGTCCTTTATCTATAGTATTGCTTCTCCAGTGAAAAAGTAGTCTCTTCTAAATCAGTAGCGAAATATGCACAGACCAAGCACCATTTACAAGTGAAAATATTTATAAATAAATAGGTTTGTGAATTTTGAGAGGACAACATGAGATGGACTTTTTCACTAGAGGAAGCATTATTATAGATACTGGACATTTTGCCAGAAGCAATGGTTTGACACATTTATGATGGTTTTGTTTCTTACAAACATGCTGCTTTTTGTTTCGCAAGATGTTAATTGATGGACTGGAGTCGTGTGGATTACTTGTGGATTACTGCAATGTTTTATCAGCTGTTTGGACTCTCATTCTGACGGCACCCATTCACTGAAGAGGATCCATTGGTAAGCAAATGATGTAATGCTAAATTTGTCCAAATCTGTTCTGATAAAAAATTGAACAATTGAAACAAGGAATTGAAACAAACTCATCTACATCTTTAATGACCTGAGGGTATATTTTCAGCAAATTTTCATTTCTGGGTTACCCATTCCTTTAATCACTCTTTTTTTTTTTTTTTTACATGTAATAAAAGAGAGAGAGTGTAGAAAATCTGTGGATTTTACTTACGATCACAGATGACTCCAGCATCCTTTGAATGGTCATGCATTCCCCATCTACGAAATTCACAATCACTGACCATGGTCTCATTTCCAAAACAGTTTACATTGCCCATAAATATTTCTCCCGCACTTTGTCCAAAATAAGCACCACCTATTGCCTCTATAGCATCTCCACATCCCATCTGTCTACACACCACTGCAGCATCTGATAGATCCCAGCCATCATCAAACACAGTTCCCCATTGACTGTCACGAAAAACCTCAACTTGTCCAGAACAAGAGGTGATGCCATTCACCAGTTTGATGTTAACTAATGCCCACAAAAATGTAAGTGTTACCAGTGGACAAAACATGATGAAGTTTATACTGTTAATTTTATGTACAAGGTTTTGAACTCACGTTGACAGGCTACTCCTGCATCCTTCTCATGTCCACAGCTGTTTTGTCCCCATCCATTTGAATTACAGTTTCTCAGAGTAGAGTAACTGGCACACTGTAAATCACTTAGCCATACGAGTCCTGATCCCTGTCCAAAATAAGCAGCATTCTTTGCCTCTATAACATTCCCACAGCCCAGTTCTCTACACACCACTGCAGCATCTGACTGATCCCAGCCATCATCGCATACTGTTCCCCACCGGCCATCAAAGAAAACTTCAACTCGTCCAGAACAAGAGTTAGTGCCATTCACCAGCTTAACAAGAGCTAAGGGCCAGACAGACAAAAGATTAAGAAACAAGCTGTTAAATATATATTAGTATAGTTAACCTAAATACAGAACATAATCTTTATTCTTTTTTCCCCCACATATTTAAAGGGGTCATCGGATGCAAAATAAATTTTTACATGTTGTTTGCACATAAATGTGTGTTGGGAGTGTTTGTACACATCCACCCTATAATGATAAAAATCCACCAAGTGTTTTTTTTAATCCCTATAAATAATATCCCCTTTCTCAAATCAAGCTATTCTCAGCTTCTTGGCTGTGTGACGTCACACAGACCCAGGCCCCTCCCACGATTGTTGATTGACACTGATGTTTTACCTTAGTCCCACACTGAGTGAGCTGTCATCAGTCCGCCACTGTTTGAACGCCGGAGCAGGGGTAGACAAGAATGTCTCCTAAGCGATTGAGGTGTTTTGTTGTTGGATGTAACAATGAACATAGCAGTCATCATTTACTCCTGACATCTGAGCTGCTGAAGAGAGAAGGATATAACTGCAGCCTGGAGATCTCCAAATGGGGGCAGGAACTCCAAAATGGGGTGGGAGCTCCAAAATAGGGCGTGGCTTCCTCCCATTAAAAGACAGACAAACGACACGCATGCGCAGTTTTTTCCCCCAATCCACTTAAGTGCAAAATCCGCCCCACAGCTGATTCGAAAGATTTTATTGGTTGTGTCAATCAAAGTGCTGATTTCCTACACTATGCTACAAAAAAATGCTAACCCCTAAACCTACCCCACACCTGACCCTAACCTTAACCAGTGAAATTGACTGCATGGTGGGATTGGCGCTGAATAGCACGGCAAAGAAAGTTGCAGTTCAGGGGATAATCAGTTAATAAGATAATGCGATATCGCCAAGCCGGGCCGCTCCGTAACTCCCCAACCGGACCTCACCGGACAATTGGGACCTTTTTATTTACACCCACTGTCACTGCCCCCTCCTACTCTGCGAATTTTGCTGGGACGGTTCGTGGGAGAGCTCGTGGGTGATTCCCATTTACATCATGAAGCTGAGGTTCAAACTCCGGTCCGAACACCACTGGCCACAAGTTTTGAGCTCTGCTCTCATGAAGAATATTTATTTATATAGGCATATTTATTTGTATAGCATATTTCATTTTAGATTAACTAGAAACAATGTCTAATTTATAAAGTTTTATTTTGAAATGTAAGTAAATAACAATTGGCTGAAGCCAGAGCCAATGGTGAAAGTCTTTGCGTGAGGAGACCCCGCCCCATTTTGGAGGTTCTGCCCACTTTTGGAGTTCATGCCCCATTTTGGAGATCTCCGGTCTGCAGTTATACCTACTTGGCTGAAGACGCAGTGGATTAGTTTTGTTTTTGAAGGGAATGCGCCCCGATCTACCTAAATGCGTCTTATGTTCACGCAAATCATTCGTGATCCAGCTTTACCTATAGAAGAAGTGAGTATACGTTTCTTTTATGAATCTTTGCAAATCTCCTATTCTAATAACGTGCTAGTTAACAAGTTTCGCGGCTAAATGCAGCTAAAGTAAACAGTCTCATGAGAACTGCTTGTCACCACATGAAAGAGAGGGGCTGGGTCAGCAGAGCTCATTAGCATTTAAAGAGACATGCAACAAAATGGCTTGCTGTGTGCAGAGCTGTTTTGGCAAGGTAAAAAGGGTGTTGTTTTACACTACCATTGAGAAATTTTAACCAAAGTATGTTATAGACTTTTCATTAAGACCCTAAAAAATCATATCAACTTGTGGAAAATGGGCATCCGATGACCCCTTTAATGCAATGTCATCATAAAGGTTATAATGGATCACAGAAGTTTTTAATTTTTGGGTGTACCACACTTGATGTGTTGTTACTCACGTTACAGGGACGGCATACTGACAATATTTTCTTTTCAATATTCTTACATGCATGGCAATGGAACAACTTACATTGACAGATGACTCCAGCATCCTTGTAATGCAAATTGTAATCTTCTGTTTTTTTGGACTCACAGGCAGTGAGTGTGAGCTCATTTCCAACGCAGTTGACATCATTCAACCATACTGGTCCCCCACCCTGTCCGAAATAAGCAGCACTCTTTGCCGCTATGGCATCTCCACATCCCATCTCTCTACACACCACTGCAGCATCTGATAGATCCCAGCTATTATCACATACTGTTCCCAACACAGGGCTTCCCCAGGGATAATAGAATATCTCCACTCTTCCAGAACAAGCATTGAAGCCATTTTCCAACTTAATTCTGCCTAAATTATGATATAATGAGCGCTGTTGTCAGAGTGGATTATATGATGTGTTTTCTCATTTTAATAGATAAGACTTGTGAGGCAACAGAAATATTGTAGATTATTTACAACCAAATTTATATGCACAGCATTTGTGGCATGATTTAAATGAACCAAATTATATCCACTGGAATTTTTTAAAACTGAATAATTCATGCAAGTGCTTGAAATATAAGCAACAAAAATATATGCTTGGTGTCCACTGTCAACTGCATGCCACAAATACTGCATATCACCCTTAACGTTGTGTGTAAAATATTTTATACTCACTTCGACAGGCGACTGCAGCATCCTTCTCATGTCCACATGAGTTTTGTCCCCATCCCTGCAAATTACAGTGTCTCAGAGTCGTTTCAGAGTAAGAACATTGCACGTCACTCAGCCATACTGGTCCTGATCCCTGGCTAAAATAACCACCAATTCTTTGCTCGAAAACATCCCCACAGCCCATTTCTTTACATATCACTGCAGCATCTGAATGATCCCAGCCGTTATCGCACACGGTTCCCCACTGACCGTCATTGAAAACCTCCACTCGTCCAGAACAGGAGTGACTGCCATTCACCAATCTGACAAGGGCTAATGTCCGCACAGAGCAGAAAACAGAATCAGAAATAATTATTAATTGTGCTCGCACAGCAACATAGCAGCTGTTATTTCAAGTGAAATACCAGTAACTTACAGCGACAGATGACTCCAGCATGCTTTGAATAGCCACATATAAACTCTCCCAATTTCTTAGAGCTGCAACTGCTCAATGTAGGCTCATTTCCAACACACGCAATATTGCTCATTAATACATGTCCACTTCCTGGTCTGAAAAAAGCACCACTCTTTGCCTCAATAGCATCCCCACAGCCCATCTCTTTACACACCACTGCAGCATCTAACAGATCCCAGCCATCATCACACACTGTTCCCCACTGACTGTAATAGAAAACCTCCAGTCTTCCAGAACAAGACCCTAAAAAATCATATCAACTTGTGGAAAATGGGCATCCGATGACCGCTTTAATGCAATGTCATCATAAAGGTTATAATGGATCACAGAAGTTTTTCATTTTTGGGTGTACCACACTTGATGTGTTGTTACTCACGTTACAGGGACGGCATACTGACAATATTTTCTTTTCAATATTCTTACATGCATGGCAATGGAACAACTTACATTGACAGATCTGGCAAGGGCTAATGTCCGCACAGAGCAGAAAACAGAATCAGAAATAATTATTAATTGTGCTTGCACAGCAACATAGCAGCTGTTATTTCAAGTGAAATACCAGTAACTTACAGCGACAGATAACTCCAGCATGCTTTGAATAGCCACATATAAACTCTCCCAATTTCTTAGAGCTGCAACTGCTCAATGTAGGCTCATTTCCAACACACGCAATATTGCTCATTAATACATGTCCACTTCCTGGTCTGAAAAAAGCACCACTCTTTGCCTCAATAGCATCCCCACAGCCCATCTCTTTACACACCACTGCAGCATCTAACAGATCCCAGCCATCATCACACACTGTTCCCCACTGACTGTAATAGAAAACCTCCAGTCTTCCAGAACAAGAGTTATTGCCATTTACCAGTCTAACTGATTCGGATGCATTTGAAATGATATTGCCTAGAACTTCATGTTAAAGAAAAAATATGAAGAGTTAAAAACACTGGCATTATCTGTAAAAATATGCTTGTTTGTGTTAGTAATGCTACTTACTCAGAAATAGAATGAGCCACATGGAGCACAGCATTGTTGCTTGTCACTAACTATATGGACACCACTGGATTTGTCTGGGAAATGACACAAAATGACAAGTACCAGACACTAATATTAATGTTGACACCAGCGAGAAGTACAAAAAAAGATGCTATGTTATATTATCAAAATCCATATGCACAAAGAACAATCACTGAAATTGTATTTTTGAACTGAAATTTTGAAACTCACCAGCAATTTTCACTCCTGCTTTTGTTTTTCTATCCCTAAATTGGCAGGTCCACTTTTGTTAAAGCACATGATTAGAATCAGGCATATTTAAATGTTGAGGCTGCCTCCTACTCCATGTTAGGACATAGAGGTGAGCTTGAGGTTGAGGTTGGTTAAATCTGTTTGGCTCTGGTTCCTCCCACTGTCTGACTTCAAAACACCTTTTTACTATAAGTCCAAGAAAGTGAAATCAAAAGTGTCTCACATATGAGCATGACATTGAAAAGCAAATGCATTTAAGTACATCAGTACATTCCTGAAGCAAACATAATACACATAAATTTATTTGAAACATAACATATAGGCTAGTCATATGTAATATATGCAACTGGCATGGCTGAAATGAAGCATGCCTCATGCCTTGTGCTGCTTTGAGTACCATTCAAATTGCATCTTAAACCTCTTAGATTTGCTTTACTAAGTAAGTAAATTTGCATTTGCATCTTTAATTTGACCACTAATCCCTCATGATTCCAGGTCTTAAATTTCATTTTAGCTGAAGTAGTACTTTCGTCTGTCCTTTTACAGAGAATCTACATAAAAAGGCTACATTGTCAATCTACATTGTCATTAAAGTCTTTAGGCTAATTACTTTACTTTTACTTTTACTTTTAGTCATTTAGCAGACGCTTTTATCCAAAGCGACTTACAAATAAGAAAAAGTAATTAAAACTTAAAAGCTAAAACTCTATAAATACTATATATATATACACACATTTAAGAAAATAAAATAAATTAAATAAAAATGACAAATGCATACAACAACATTTCAAAACTAAAACATTTAAATGAAAACAAAAAAAAGAAAGCTAAAAACAATTCAAACATACACAAATAAGAAAAAGTAATTAAAACTAAAAGCTAAAAGCTTTTAAGAAAATAGAAGAAATTTAAATAAAAATGACAAATGCATACAACAACATTTCAAAACTAAAACATTTAAATGAAAACAAAAAAATAAAGCTAAAAACAATTCAAAAATATTAAAAGAACAAAAGATATGAGTATAATAATGATTCTAACATAACACTAAGCCAAACACCAAAAAACAACTACATATGTGTATGTACAGCCACACACATATACAT